TGTATTTAATATAAGCAATAATAACGAAAATGTGGTTTACTCTGTCAAAATTATTAGAAAAAATTATCGATGGACCTTTTTCCCTTTCATGTATCAATGAAAAATAAATGGAAGATAAGTAAGTAGGTTACTGTAAATTAAGAATTCTGCCAAGTGAATTATTCTTGGTGCAAACTGGGAAAATACACCAAGATAAATTTCTAAATTTCTCTGTAAATGTCTCACCAAAAATTACAAAATTTAATATAGTTCAACTATCTCAATCACAGTCTTGGCTGGCATACATAAAAAATACATAGACTCGTTCAAAAGGGCCGTTATTACTTGCTGCGATGTGAAAAGTCACGGGAAAGTCTTCTCTTGTTCGGAAAGAATATGCTTCTGAGAAAGAAAGCCCCCATCCTTTCACTCTATTTTGAGAATAATTCAGTCTGAATGGCACATGCGTGTTTGTGCTCATGGTCACGGATGAGGTGGTCGAACTATATCTAGGCATAATTTGGGTATTAGAATCAAAATATGGATAAAATTTTTACTTCAGAAAAAGTCCAGTTTTGTGTCAAAATACCTATGTTAGAATAATGCTATCTATAAATCTAGTATATATCCTAAGTCGCGATTCCGAGACATGAAACACGTCATTTGAATTTTGTCAATCGGCCCAGTAGAACGGGAGATCCAAAACTGTCCTTCCCCCCCCTTTTTTTTTTTAATGCAGTGTACATGCATGTTAAAGTGAATCAAAAATCATCTATGCATATCTTCTATGAAAGTAAGGAATTTTTTTAATAAAATATTATTTTAGTAGTTCCTCTGACTATGTAGATATGCTGTTCATGTTTACAATTCCACGAAATTTCTAAATTCAAAGCAGACACATCTAAAATAACAACAAAGGTAATTCTGCAATTTGTGTATGTTTTGTAATGAATGAAGCATCCGTATTAAAAAAACAGTATACAGTGGTGGCCAAAATTGTGGACACTTGGAAATTTTTATGTTTTGAACTTTGTATGCTTATAGCCCCGTTGAGTTCACACCTGCAACTGTCCTCTCCTTTTAAGAGAATTAGACTGATCAATACAACACCAAATCATTCTTTGCCATATAAAAAGTAAACGATAAATTTTATCCTAACAAGAAGTGAGATTGCAGGAGTTATCAGACTTCGTAAGTCTCTTTATTTTTTGATTACGTTCACATCGCGTTCCTGCGTGACAAGAGATTTAAGCTTCTTCTTTCGTATTCATGATGAGGAACCAATTATAGCTCGATTCGGTTCCCTTTGAGGGCGCCTCTTTGACAGAGTTTCCAACGGTTCCACAAATTTCGATAGATCGAGGTCAGGACGTTCCTGGACCGGACACCCTATGTCTTGGTACGAACGCCTTTGATTTTTGGTATGTGGCAAGGAGCAGAATACTTCTGAAAATAAACGAGCATTTGGGAAAGATTGATGGAAGGTAGAAAGTTATTTCAGCATAGTGTCAATGCAGTTTTTGGCATCATTCCACGATGACCTGAAGGCGGCAATACCATTGATGACATGCATGACAATCATACCTAACTGGGTTCTCCAGTGTGATGCAGTCAGATGAGCTCTTCCTTCTATTCTACGTTTTCGCCATATTTTCGCTACTGAATCGTATCTTAATTTCATCACTCCATATAACTTGTGAACTGATCATCTTTCCATTAATGTGTTCCTTTCCCCCGTATTTTTTTTTTTTTTTTTTTTCGTTGCGAAATAAGATAAGGCTTTTCTGAATTCTCCTTTCCCCTCTGTTTTTCTCCTGATTGTTCTACTGACAGCACCAGCATCATTCAGATCACTTCTGATGGCCGCTGATGACATTTCTATCTGCGACATAGTGTTTTTTTCTGTCATCCTCGCCCCTTTTTCGGCCTTTTACTTCCTTCGTTTTTTTTATTGATTTTTCTTGATATCGTAAACAAACTTTCGGACTCCAGAGGTCAGAACCCCCCCACTTCTTGCATTCAGCATAGGAAAGAACTTTCTTGTCCACATTATATTACATCTCTTTCTAGGTGTCCAATCTACTCTTTATTTGATGGCATTGCTTCTTGACTAAATATAAATTTTAAAATCCACTTGTAATTGCAGTATAAGAAACAGTCCTCCTTACAGACAAAGCAAATATGAATTGTTTCAATGTAACATGATGTCAGCTTCTCTGGCAGTTACTACATTTTGATTCTTCTCGCAAGAACAGTGATCGGCCAAGAAACTATACCCAACCACTTCATAATGTTTTTTTTATTTATATACGTCATATAACTTTTTGTATGCAATATGATTTTGTGTTTTATTGAATTCAGTCTAAATTCTCTAAAATATATACAAGTTGCATTTTGCAAACTAACATTTTCTATAAGCATACAAGTTCAAACATAAAAGTTTCCAAAAGTGTCCACAATTTGGCCACCACTGTAATATTTGTATTTAACAAATATATCCATTTCAGATCAAGCAAGTACAGTAGAAGTCCAGAAATCTGCAATCTGGGCCGAGAGTTGTGCGTTTCAGAAAAATAAATCATAAGTTCAGACTAAAAGTGCAAATAAATAGGCATATTCGCTACTTTATTATTTATACATTATTCATAACTTATTATATGTGTTAAATTATTACATATATAAATGATTATATTATTCATTATTATCTACGCAGCATCGAGGTTTGCCATTTCGCCCTCATTCAAAGATTCGGATTCCGTTGTTAGAATCCGTGTGCTGTAAATTTCAATAGCTTTTCCTTCTTTTTCCGTATACCATACACATCGTATCGCAATTCCATATGATTCGCTTAAATGCACCTATTCCCTTTGCAGAATTTGCACTTTTTGCTTCCGTCAAGCAACGTGTTTACGTTTCAACTTGTAAGCATAAATCATGTTTCTTTCTTATCTGAATTGTAAGAAAGGTTGAAATTTAAAATATTCTTACTGTTCCACATATATCTGGATATAAAAAGGCAGCACTAAAAAATATCTGATGAAATAAAAGAAAACAAAAGTGAATCGTGACTTGAAAGAAAAGTTGAGTGACTCTTGCTTTCTTACCTTGATGCAGATTAGAGGAGAAAAAATTTTATCATGATGTCAATAATTTGATATTTCCGTTATGACTCGTTATTATTCGGTAATTATGACGTCATTATTCGGTAAGTATTTTTCGTCGATATTTTGTACTCCATGTTGCGGTTTCCGGAACCTATAAACTGAAAGTTTATATTTTGAGAGGCAATGCGGATTTCAGGAGTTGGCGCATTTTCGGTATTTGACTCTATTCGCATTTTACTTTTGAATGGGATAAGACATTACATGGTGGACATAAATTGGGATTTTTAATTATCTAACGCTTTTCTGTAACGTAAATTTTGCACAGTAACTTTATTGAGTACTACTTTCTGTTAAGATCAATAAAACCCTATGCACCTAATTATAGATTACCCAACTTAAAAAAAATATCTTGTATACCTACTCAAGATTAAAGTATTTTACATTGGGGAACAGTTTGAATTGTTATGTCTTATCTTATTTAATCATTTAACTGTCCTACAAAATGCTATGTTTGCTTCTTCCTCCCCCTTCAAACATAATCTTTTTACATCTGAAACTATCCTTAGAAATATTCTTTCGCCAGCTGTCAAGACCTATTTAAAAAAACTCTGTACTTGTCAGAACTATAGGATGTTGAATATTTTCTCCATACCAAGAAGCAAAAATTCTTTTGCATTTCCTAGTCTTTTATCTGAAAATTAACATAGACAATTCCCTAAAAGCAGGTTCTCAAATTAGCATTAGTTTCATTGCAGTGGAGGCTGAAGAGAGGCTGGAAGTGCATTTCTATTTTCCAACTTTTTAAGTGATTTTTTTTTACATGATCCTGATACAGCCTTGCTGTGGAGAGAGCGTGATGAATTAAACCATCAATCACCTCTTTTCATTTTGGGTGCATTTTGGCGTGAAGGAAAACACAAAGCAGTGAGTGTCTTTTGGGGATAACAATCCACATCACATTTAACACCGACAAGTGTGTGCCGTTACTGATGCCTGAAGATAGTTTTCAAATTGACAAGTCTGTTTCAGGAGAAACAATGAAGGGGTTAAGTGGCTTAAAGTTTGTCCACAGATGTAAAAATAAATGTAGGCAATATAGCGTTGATTTTTTAAGTTCGGCTCCATTCCATCATTATCAGACAAAACCTGCCCATGTGCCTTTTATGCAATGAAGTTTTAAGCAATGGCTCTTTGAAACCATCAAAGCTGAAGGACCATCCAAGAAGGTGTCACCTAGATAAAACAGGTAAAGATTTGGAAATACTTTTGGACTCTGAAAGAAAAACTTCAGAAGGGACCCACAGTGAAATAGTACAAGATCCGGCTATTAATTTCCAGGACTTATGGAATAACTCAGAAGGAAAAAAAAGATTAAACACATAGCCATTTAATATGATTCAAAGTAATCCCCAGTGACGTTACAGTTTTCTTGATGGCTTCGACATCTGGAAATCTTGTTCCCTTCAGTGAATTTTTCAGCTTAGGAAACAAATTCCTATTGTCGAAGTGAAAATGGAGAAAAAGTCTGCGGGTGCTAGGTCTGGAGAGTATGATGGATGCTGCATTTCAACGACACCATGCTGGGCTAAGAATTGCCTCACAGGCAACGCAATGTGTGGGCAGTCATTGTCATGTAGCAGCAACCAACTCCCATTTTGTTGAAAATGAGGCCTCACTCTATGAATTCGTTTTCCAAGTTGGTCAAGAACTTCTGTGTAGAAATGTCCATTGATAGTCATGTTAGGAGGAAGAAATTCGTGAATGAGTCCATCGCAATCGAAGAAAGCGATTAACATGATCTTAATTTTGGACTTCTCAAATCGAAATTTTTTCTGCCTTGGTGAACTTGGAGACCGCCAATTGGAGCCTTGACACTTGGTTTCAGGCTCATATTGATAACACCAAGACTCCTCTACCATGACTACCCTATCCAGGAACACAGGGTCAGCGTCAGCGTTGTCGGGATAATGCTTCCTTGCCGTAAACTTGTTTTAACATTTCGTAGGTTTCCGCAGCTGTCTTGTCCAATTTGAAGCAAAATTTAATGTTAATTCTTTGCTCCATTTTCACTTTGACAATAGGAATTTAAAGCTATGTTTTAATGCGCCTTTCCACAAGAACCACTTACATGGCGCCGATTGTACTGCACACTCACAAGAAAATGCTCTTTAATATGCAATCATTAGTGCCATCTTCCGACTTTTCGTTCTCCTACAGTTACATCAGTCGTGGAAATTAATAGCCGAACCTTGTATGTTTGCTTGGACATAAAAAAGAGACGATAATTGTTTGAAGGCATCTTTCAATATCACACTGTTTGTAGCAAAATCAGGAAAAACCCATACTGTCAAAGAACAGCTAATTTGCCAGTCTCTGAAAGGTTTTAAAAACTGTTCTACACAAACCTGCATATATTCCAAAAAAAAATGTATTGATGTAAATTTATTATATTTAAGCATGATCCTAATTAAATAATTTTTGCCTTACTTTTATTTCCTTTATTTTATTATTTAGAGGTTTTTATATGTGGTGGACAAGATGGGGGTGGAATATTCTCTGATGTTTGGAAAATCAACTTAAAAACTTTGCAATGGGAGAAGCTTAATACAAATTTACCAACTCCTGTTTATTTTCATTCTGCAGCAATATCTCAGGTGAGTTTTTATATGCGGTACTGAACAATTTCTATTTTCTTAGAATGAAAAATGTAATGAAAATTAAAATATGTTACATTCCAAAGTTTATAACCCAGACTGGGTACAACAGGATCTCCAAATTATTTGAATTTCAGATATCCAAAATTTCCTGGTATCACAGTTGTTATTTATTCTAAATAATTAGAATGAATCATGGTGTGTGTTAAATAGTTTATCATTTGTTTCCAACTGGATGACTGAACGTGACAAACTGGGATGCTAATGAGTGATTCCATTGCAGTGACTAGTGCTGGTTGTATATTAACTTCATTTAAAACTTAAGCACATTTACTATGAATCTGTAAGAAATTCGTTAACAAAAATGGCAATTTGTAATCATTATCATATGCAGCGAGGCAATTATTTAAATGCCAAATACTTTGTGTTCTTTATGTAAGTATCTTGCTATCAGCAAGAGTATTTCTAGTCAAAATTTTAGAGTATTCTGAGTACTTTTCTACTGAGTAGTTCTGCGCTTTTGCAGCTGAGGATGATGGTTCGGTAAAACCATTGAAACCACCCCTGTGAAAATTCGAAAATATAACGCCGATTTTTGTTGTTTGACTTCTAAATTAATGAAGCATTTATTAACTATTTATTATTTAACATTTTCAAAAGCTTCACATGTTTGAATAAATGAAAGAATTTTGTGTTTGTCATTCTTACTTGAGCCTTTCAAATTGGTTATTAATTGGCCTGAAAATTCTATTTCAGGAACATGAGAAACACATCTTGAAGTATTTAATTTAAGCCCATGTTTGAGTAAAACTTTTCAAATGTGTTATTTATGGAATGCTTCTTTTCTGAGAATACCAAAATGTCATAGGTATGTGTAAAAGTTCATACCTCATAACTCTTCATGTGTGAAACGCCGTAACACGTGAGCAACATTTTTTAGTTAAAAATTTTTTAAGTAAGGAAACTCAAAAAGAACGAAAGAGGTAATTACTGCTATTTTAGATATGTGCTTTTCATAGAATATGATGATAAACTCATGCAGTGATCTAATTTAGAAAACCCTATTAGGCTGTGAAGATGGTGAATAAAATGTTATCTGTGAGAAATGGAATATGAATCAAAAAGTGTAACTAAATTGAGTGCTTTGTAACCCCCAGCTAGCCTGATGCCGGTAAGTTTTTATGTACTAAACATAAAGGTGATGATTAGTTACTTTTAGAGGGTCAACAAATTACCTGTTCTAACATATGTTTGAACATTTTTTCCCCTTTATTATAAACTTCGGGTTGAAGGCATCTTGGAGTGGACTGGTTAGTTCCTTTAATTTCAATGAAATTTGTGAGTAGTAATGAAAGTTGCCAACGTGTTGGCGATTTTTCTGGGAGGAGGATAAATCAACTTGATTATTTTAATTTTTTTTCTTTTTACTTCCTTGTATGAAGTAAAAAGGAAGTATTGTAATCGCGAAAAGTTTCAGGCAGCATATTTCAACAAAAATATCTATTTTTGACCGCTATCGAATGCAATTTAATGATGTTTTTGCGTGATATCTGTACGTAAGGACAGAATAAAAGACTCGTTTCCTCCAAAAAAAAATTATAAAACTGCTTTAAAATTAATTCTGAAGAGAATCTATATTTCTAAGAAAATATTATGGTGTAATTGTGTTTATAAGTGCTCTAATGTCATTCTCTTACTATATGCAGATGGTATTGTACTTTTTAGTAAAGATCAACAGTGTATAAAGTAATCTCACAGTTGAGTAAGATTTTTTATCTTAAAAGTATTAGACAGAACTAGAAAGTTACTTGGAATTGAGTTCTTAGAAAATGACAATGGGACTTTCATACATTAGCAAAGATATATCTAAAGAAATTTTTGCAAAATTTTAATTTCTTCAGATACCAGTAACTTGTTTTCCCACAGCTAAAGGCACTATTAGATTGTCTGTCTACAAGTGCAGAAATTACTGAAATGTGTAAATTACTTTTTAGAAATCTGTTGGGATGTTTATTTATTTATTTATTTATTAGCTATAAGGACAAGGCCCAATTTCACATATGCAGTAAATATCTTATCGCAATTTCAGGAGAATCCTGCAATTAGGCATTGGGAAGCATTGTTGAAATGCTTGGTTATCTCAATAGTACTAAATCATATAGGTTAAACTTATCCAAGATTAAACATCTAAATGTATATCATTATTCAGATCTGATTATGCAAGTAGTAGGGATGACCTTGTGTTCATGGGTGGATTCATATTATATTTAGATGAAGTAACGGTAATGTGGAAAACTTTTAAACAACAGTGTGTAGGTTTATCCACCATGGGTGCAGAGTATATCGCCTTATCGGAAGCAATGAAGGAAGTGATGTGGATGAAAAATGTTTTACAAGATGAAGTTTTAAAATTTAATTTGAAAGATGAAAGAATGTAAACTATTTTGCAATAACAAATCTGCCATTCATTTTTCTAGATCACCCATACAAAACTGTCAGACTAAGCACATAGATATACAATATCACTTTATTAGAAGATTGTTGAATGATGGGAGTTTGACTTCGAATTCATCTCCACCAAATTAAATAATGCAGATTTATTTATGAAAGCTGTAATTGCTATGAATTTGAAAAAGTTTTGTTTAACTGCTTACTGTATATAAGAACAATAAATATTGTGTCCATATTATGAAACTGAAGTATGATTTTTTTTAATTGTATATAAATTAAGCCCCCCCCATGAGGGAAAGAGGACTGTTGTTGACTTAATGTTTTGTTTTTGGTTTTTCCTCATGCAAAATTAGATCAGAGGTCATTTGGGTAAACTAGGAGCTATTTTTGCAACTTCTAAGCTGTTGCACTGAAAATTAAAACATCTATAAGTCTGTGCAGCATATAAGCGTTTAAATACAAGACATGTAACCACAAATTAGATTAAACACAAAATAAACCATAAAAATATTCTAAAAGCAATAAATAAAAAATATATATATAAAATAATACAGCATAGAAAATAAAAAAATGCGATAAAAAGGGGTTAAAATATTCACAAATATTTACAACGTATAAGAAGAAATAATTTTGTAGGCAAGTAAATATGCATCTTTCTGGAATATTGTGTAAAACGTTTAATCATTTATTGATTGCATTAGTTATACATTTTGTTGTGGGCCATCACTTTGTTTATATTTCTCTGAATGACAAGTTCAAATATTTAAAAAATTAGCAGTTTATTAAAAAGTCAGTTGCAACCAACAGAGTAATTAACTTGTAGCAGCTTACCCGGATATAAGCAGTTTCTTCTTAGTGTGTGAGAAACTCGTATTTCAGCTAAATCTTACAGATGAATAATAATTAAAATTGCAACGACAGATGCTTATCCAAGCTCTCTCAGCTGTGTTTATCTAAGACACGAGTATCTAGAAATTCAAGAAAGATCTCATATGAAGAGCATATCTCAAATTTCACAAACTGTTTTTATGCTCTGAACATAACCATTGTGAGGTCAATGAAGTAAACAATTTCACATTAGAAATAAACACACATAAAAAATGGCTGCAAATGCAAAATAAGTTAATATTATAACAATGTGGTAAGAAGGGTTTAAGTATTTATGGATATATGCAGCATTAATTATTATTATTAAATATTTTAAAGTTGTTTAAGTTTTAAAACAGGATTTTCTTGTTTTTCTTCCAGGCTGGTCAACTTTTTGTATTTGGTGGTGTGAACTCTATATTAGAAAACTCACGTACAAATGAACTTTTCTCAATGTGGGTCAAAATTCCATCCTTAGCTGAAATGTGCTGGGAAGCCATTTTGTATTATATACCACACATAGCATGGTTAAAAAAAGAAAATTTATTTGAAGCTGGTGTTCCTGTCCATTTTCTCAATCAGATAGTTTTTGAGTCCTCACTTGAGAAAGAAATCAAAAACTGCTGCTATCGACTACAGTCTTAGCAGTTTTCTGTACTTTTCCCTGGAGATTTTATCTAATGGAGGTCTGTGAGAACATATAATTTTTTTAGAGTATTTAAATAATAATTTATGAATGACTTTTATCTGTCTTGTTATGGCTAGTGTTGTTTCACCTTGAAAACAAATCAGATTGTGAAAATATTTTATATGTATTAACTATTCATATGTTAAGTTAAACAAGTATAAAAAAGGGGGGAAGAAAGGCCTGTAAAATTGGTATAAAATCTCATATACGAATAATAACAAATAGCTATCACTATTTTACAAATCTGCTGCAATCTGTTTCAGTAATATGATAATTGATTGAAAGCTAACTTAATTTTTTGTCTCAGTGTTCTCTTTCATGAGTTGTTCGTTTTCTGCTCGTAACTGTGATGAGATAGTTACCAAAATATCTTGCACCATATACACTATTTAGAAGGCATATGCCGTTCAGTGATTTTTATGAATCAAAGATGAGTGTCAGTAACTATAAAAAATTGTATCTATCAATAGCACAGACTTAAGTTCACTTCAAAATTATTTCAGAAGTTATTCTTCGTAGGCTAGTAGTCTTACCTGTATTCAAAAGAGAGCAGAAAAAGATTTTTCAGTTATAAATTGAGCATTTAATGGCATTTGTAATACTGTTGTTTTATTAGAAAATGTGTAAATAAATAAAAAAATAGTTAATAAATAAAAAATTCTTAATTTTTTTGCCAAGAATATACTGATACAAAAATAAAGTTGACAATCATAACATCATTTGTATATTTGCCTGTTATTCTGTTATTAAAATTTCTATACTTGTAAGGAAGCTATCCCAGTGTAAAATGCTGGGGCTAGTACAGTAGAAATGTATATGTATTGGTTGACTTTTGTGTAAAAGTTTTGATGTTTGTATAAGCAATTTTAAAAACTTGTTATGCTTATCAATATAACTAGGAAAATACATTTGTGTTTTCTTTATGTTTTGGGTTCTTCTCATGGGGGAGGATAGTGGTCTTAGTCAAGTGTTTCTGTAAAGATGTGTTATGTAAAGATTTGTTAAAGTTGTAGAGGATAATTGCAAAATAGATTTGATTCTATCAGAATGTATTAAATCTCTCTCTAGTATTCTGTATATACTTAGTACATTTCAGTATTTGTTGCTGAATGCATTCTATTATATTCAGTCATAACTCGTGTATTTTAAAATTTGTGACAATGTTTTCATGCTTTTCATAAACTGCAATAGATACTTTCTGTAGAGCCTTTACATATGTGTTTTTGCTGTGAAATAGACTTTAAAAGTTGATAGTTTTATGAGTTTATTATAATGGTACTTTCATAACTTTATATATTTTTATCTATATTTTAAAGATTTCATTTAGGTTTCTAGAAATTATTTCTTTTGAAGTTACTATTTCAGCAAACTTATTTTAAATGAAAACTGAAAAATAATACATATGGGAATCAATGCATGTTTAATTAAGATTTTGTAGTAGTTTATGATTATACTTATTGAATTGTCGCAGCAACTTTAAATCGCTTTTGTAGGATGAGAAATTTAGAAACAATCACTGCCCTTGGGGTCATTTCTGTAGCATGAGAAAATAGAAGCATTGCCATGGTATATATTTTTGCAGTCAGTTAGTTCTCAGAACTTGAAATACTGAAGCATCTTAGAATCATGCTTTGTTAAATAATCCATAAAAAGCCACTATATATATGTATTTATTTCCCTGCATATTGCATTTATATTCATTTTGAGTTTGAAACTTCAGAACATGAATGTCTTTGTGGAACTTAAGAAAATTGCTCAAACACTGACTTTTCCTTCCAAAAATATATATTAGAAATCTCATAATTCATCAGCATGTAGGAAATACTTTATGCTACTATATAGCAAATATAAGTGAGATATATGTAAGGAATCCTAAAAAGTGACTTTTGATGTTTATTAAATATTGGTCTAGACATATGTTTCCAGTTATGTTCCTTAAAATATGGTTAGACACTTTTTGCATAATCCAGTTAGTAAAATAGTTAGTTTACAATGAAAACTTGGTTCACAAAATTAGTTCAATTCTGAAAATAGTCAATCACTTGAAATATTTATAAACTGAAATAATTTTCTCAATAGTATTTAATGTAAAATGAATTAATCTGTTCCCGGATCCCAAATGACTGCTTAGGAAAGAGTAATTTGTATGTATTGGTTTGTCTAAAAAGTCATGATGCATCTTTCCTATGTTCTTCAGAGGTCCTTTATTGATGTAATTAATTAAATCTAACACATACATGATATTTTAATGCTATGTTAAATACAAGAAAAAATAGAAAATTCTAATTAAATTACACCTTAGCTCTACAAAGGAAAGTTAACAGGTGACTGAGGACGAGGACGCCTGGTGTATAACATAGGTAAACAGGCATATGTCCCACGTCCTCCACTGTCTCGAAGAAACAACTCGCTGGAGCCCCGTGAGGCACCGGGAGTTTACATAGCCATACAGGGGCTAGATGTCAAGTAGATTTTACATGGGACGTTGTTTTTAAAACAAAGTAACTTAAAAAAGAATATAAAGGATAGCATTAAAACACACACATAAGCTGAAACATGTAGATATACAAAATTAAATGTAAAAGCATAAAAACACACTCATAATTACGTAACATAAAGACATAAAAACACACACGAGAATACATGACATAACACATAGAGCATATAAATGCAAATATTGCACACATAAGAAACATATGAGACATAGTAAGGTGTGCGTAAAGCAGAAGCGCTATGCGGAAATATGCTCAATACCCATAATACATAATGTACATACTTTCATTAGAGGAAGGAAAGTTGACAGCATCAATAGAAAATAGTAAGGAATTCAGAGATGAAAAATTTTATTTTTTGAAAGAGTAATCATATTCTGTAAAAATAATAGGTGGCTGTTATTTTTCTGTTGGCCCCATTTTCTCTTTTTCTTAACACTACTCGCCTCTATTTCACATTCACAACTTTACTTTGAGCCTTTTTCGCAAGTGAAAATCTGACAAAAACTAATTTTTCATTGTTATTTATTTCTGTTTACATTTTAAACTGTTCTTAAGCAAAACATGGATTGTCATTGCAAATCTTTATGCTACTGAGCACCTCCTAAGATAACCACTAACCTGACTTGTAAAAGTATTACAGTGTTAGTAGTCATCCTGGCAGAAGGGAATATTTCCTCAGTGTAAAAATATAAATATTACATGGGCATACAATGCCTGTGTATAAGCATAGATATGTTGATTACAAACATTGTCTTGTACAAGTTACATATGGTAGTTACATAAAATCGTGACAGCTATGTGTACATTTAAACATTATCTGAATTCATATTTACAATACTTTTACTAAGATAATCAAAGTAAACTTGTAATTCATTTACACATTGACTGGATTTTCAATATCATTTAAGCTGCTTTACAATAGTATTTTTATCAAGTACATACAAACTGGATAGTAATATGCTTACATCACAATAGTTTTGTTCTTACAGTCCTGTTACTATTCTACAGGGTGAGCTGTTTTTCTAGTGTTGATTTTCAGTTGTAGTATTTTGAATTGCTATTAAAATTTTGCTGCGAAGATACAATTATCTAGGTCATAATTTTCTGGGAACTTTTGTGGCTTACTTCATTTTGCACAAATTTGTGGATCATATAAGTAGAAGCACCTTCCCTTCTGTCTTCTTTTGAAGGCATTTTATTTACTGCATCAATAATTACATTTTGGAGTATCATTTGTTGCCCACTTACTTGCTGATATCTTGAGACATCGTTCATCATTCAAGACATTTTTCATCTGGAAAATTAGTTCAGAAACTAATTTATTGGGAATTCAAGGTTCTAGTATACTATTTTAGGAAAAAAAATTTCATATTTTAATGATGATAGATTCTGGAAATTAAAGGCACAAATTGTTAGTTAAGAATATCTGTTCAACTTTTATTCAAAAGTATCGAATTTTTTGCATTTAACTTTAATAAAGCATTATAAACATTTTATTAATTGGATTTTTTACTGCGTAAGAATCACACAAATAGGCCCTCTATTTATTGAAACTTCCTGTTAACCATGTTGAAATTATTTTCTGTATCTTATTCTCTGAAAACTTGTAACTAGAAGTGTATGTCTAAGATCATTATTTAAGAAAGTAAAGCATGTAAATACCTTTCCCAAACATCCGGTATAAATATATACATGTAATATGTACAAATTGACTTATTCCTTAAATGCTTAGAATTCATTTATCTTGTATAAATATGTTTTAAATGTTGTATTCCCCCCCCCCACACACACACATGATGCATTTTAGTGCCAGATTCTGAAAATTTTAAAAATATTTGTTTTCTCCTTCTTCAGTGCATTCAGAGAATGAGCTCCCCTAAGTTTTAAAATAGATTTGTTCTACTAACAAAGACAAACCTTCACCAACATTTGCGAAGGTGATGCCGAACCTTTCCTTTCTAACTGTAGAACTTTATGCCTCCCGACATGAACGGACAAATGACAGTGAAGCAGAAATAAACTGAGATTCGATCTACAATTTCACTGACTCAGCTGTACATTCACCTTCTCTAATTATTTATAGATTATTTGTTGGCTAAGGAATAACAGACAGCAGTAAAAATGTGCGAGGATAAGTTACAGGGAAGTAGAAGTGAAAATATCTTATTAAGATATTGTAATGTTAATATTATGACGTATTCTAATTGTAAGTTCTTTGAAAGAAATAATATGGTGAAAGTTACCTGTACTCCCATGAATATTTTTTATTTGTCATGTTTTTACTGTAATTGCATCCTTCAGAAGTTATATTATTCACATAATTTTTCCTCTTGCTTTTTCGGGATGATAAAATTGGTGAAAAAGCGGAAAATGTACGAGGAAGTATGGCATATTATTTAAGACAATATTCAAGACTAAATTATTTTTTATAATAATAATTTATTGCAAAAATGCCTAAAATTCCACTTTCTAAATATTTCAGCATGTAATTACTATGTTTTGCTTATAAAGGAAATTTCCATTGTTAGACTTTGTATATGCTTTAAGACTTTTTAATTTATTCACTTTACTTATATTTATTTATATTTGTACACAATAGAAGCCTTAACAAAATTTCATGTTTATAATAGTTTATGTGCAGTGTGAGTATTTAAAACTATTAGAATTGTTCCCCTGATATGATGTGTTAGTCAAAAACACTTCTATTTTAGAACTGAATTCCTCTTTTATTTTTCTGAAATGCTTATCTTTGTTGTGTGTTTATTATATAAATCAAATTTATTTATATTAGTCTCATTTCCCTTCAATTTATAATAACAGCCATCAAGATAGGTTAAATTTTCCAAGTGTGACAATTTTTGACGAAATAGTGTATAAATATGGGAGCAGGATTAAAATTTGATAGAGTATGAATCATGAAAAAACTAATTACTCAATAAATTTTAGTATTTTTTCTGTTAATTTTTTCCCTTTAATTTTTGCAAAATCTTATGTGATGTATCAAAAGCAGATGCAGTATTTTTTCCTTCTGTGTAGTTTATTAGGTGCTTAGAAATTAGTGTAATTATTTAGAGCTAGATGAAAAACTGCCATTTCTGCTAAATGTGTGTCTATGTAAGCATATTACTGTTACAGTTTAAATTATATGAAAAATAATTTTCTATATATATATTTATTATTATTATTTAAGAAATTTGACATAGAAAAGTGCATTAGGTAAAAGTTTGTTTTATTCTTAAATAAATCTTACATGTTATGCATACAAAAATGCTCTAGTTCATTATTGTAATATTAAAAAATTTCAAAATCAAAGTAGATAAAGGCAAATTTTCGCCCTCTCTCCCCTGCATAGTACTTCTTTTATAAGCTCGCAATACATTATATTTTAATTTTTCAGACTGGTTTAAAATTCATGCATTTAATTATATTAACAAATAAGCTTTTTTTTTTTTTTTTTTTTTTTTTTTTTTATTATTATTTGCGATGAAGCTTGGAATATGCAGTTGAAAGTTAATTGAAGAAAATGTTAGATAACTGTAGGGCTTTTAATTCCACTTCGCCAAATCCTAGAGCCTGTCAACCTAGGATTTAGATATCTTAAGAGCACCCAAAAATTATCCTTCAACTCCACACAGTCCTGTTTCCTTCTCTCAAAATCTAGAAAGGTGAGCATTAAAAGCCCTGAAATTCTGGTGGGGAAACGGAGAAGTGACAGTACAGATCCAAAACATAAAATAACAGGTTAATAAAATTAAAGGAACCCCACAATATAATTTTCATAAATGAATTCAATTAAGTGTGCTTTTCCCATAATATCAGTTGTTTCGAGACAGAAAATGCTGCTAAAACTATTGCAAATTCAAGTAACAAATTTGAATTTTCAAGAGTTTTAGCTATACTTTCTTTAATATTTGAGGAAACTTCTGCAATTCTCTGGTGCATATTGTCACTTCAAAGTGGTATTTTACAAATATCAGCTTCTACTGGATCACCGATCATTCTTTCTATAATTCTACGATAAGAAGGTAATGTAGTTTCTTCAACCAAATTAAGAGGTTTGAATTTAAAGACAACTATTTCACCCACTTCATAAGAAGCTGTGTGAGCATGTTCAGATGCACAATTCTTTCTCAAAAATCTTTACTTGTTTGGATTTTGTGTATGTGATTTTTTTAAAGTAAATGCCATTTGATGTAAGTAAAGGATGATTGGTAAACAACTGACATTGGAGCTTGTTCAGAACCATAGCATTGTTTGTCAATTTACAACCGCAGTTTGTTCATTTTCTGTTGTAGATGTAAATCTAAATTTTAAGAAACCATCGTGTACTAGGCGAGTATCACACTTTTTTTTTTTTTTTTTTTTTTTTTTGCGCGGTGGAATTATTTTTGTTTGTACTGGGCTCGGGCTCACCCTGATCACTAGCATCATCATTATGATCTATGATCGAAGCTTTTTTTAAAAAAAAATCTGTTTATCCATTTTAGAAGGTTATTTTAAAACAAAAATAATTTTGTCAAACAGTTATTAAAAATGGCATAAATACCTTTGAATAATTTGTTTTAAGTTAGACAACAGAATTTTGTTGTATTGCACATAAGAAAGCAAATCTATAATAAATACCTAATCCTATGTACACATGAAGCATAAATTAAACTAGTATACTAGTCGTGTTAGCAGACATTAGTACTGGGAATGCGAAGAAGTAAGAGGGGGATATTTCTCCCTCTCATTTCTATACGTATACTATGCATTTTGTAGTTTCTTCTCAAGCACATTGTTCGCTGACCGATCTGTATATCTTTGTTTTGGTTCAATTTAGGAGTGTAATAGTCATATGTATTTAAATTTTTTTTTTATGGTTTCTATCAGACGTGTTCGTCATTAAAAGTGCTATGTTTTGGTTAAACATTGTACAGTCCGAGATGCGTTGGGATTACTTTAGACAGTCTCCGGTAGGAAGTTGAAACCAATTGAACTACTTGTATAATGATGCTTATGTATGGGTATTCGCAATGACGTTTGGTGAAGTTAAGGAGTAAGA